AAATTGCTTGCAGTGTATTCCAGGTGTGGCCTCCCTGAGGCTTTATAAAGCGGCACTAATTCCCCACCTGATCTCTGCAGAAATACCGCATCTTGCTGTACAACGGGGATGTGGACATGGCCTGCAACTTCCTGGGGGACGAATGGTTCGTGGAGTCCCTGCAGCAGAAGGTGGGCTGTGCTGGGGGGGCTCTTGAGGGGAAAGCCCCCCTGTCAGGATGCCGGCAGTGACCCATGAGCCTCGAGCCAAACTTCCAAAACCTCAAAAGGGTTTATTGGGAGTTAACATGTCCGGCACTGCCTGGGTGCAGCCGACTCTGAGACACATAATTCATTGTTACCCTTGACCTTGGTTTCCCCTCCCACACACACCCCCGGGTGTATCATAATTCATATCCTCCAATGGGACACATCCATAGCCCAGAGTCATCAATCAGGCTCTCCAGTTTGAATCAGAAACTTCAGTCCCCTAGTTAGTATCTTTGAAAACATTTGTGGAATGCACTTTCGGTTGGCAAACTGCTGCACTGCTCCCCCTCCCTTTCTGTGGGCAACTCTAAAAAGACCCTAGAAATATTTGATGAGCGGACACCCCCTCTCCCTCCCACACCCCTGGTTCCCGGCGCTGTGGGGAGGGGACCAAACCTGGCGCCCCCTGCTGGCCTGCCCTCTGCTGTGCCCTGGGCAGGGTCGCACCCGGCCCGTCTCTTTGGAAGGAGCCCCTCGCTCCACCTCAACTTCACCACCACTATTGAGCCCCAAATTTCTGTCACAAAGCAAGACAGTTGTTAAGTGAGGTTTGGCCCATTTTGCGCCTTCCTTGTTCATGGCGGCGAAGTGGCTTCCCTGTGGGCTCCGATGGTCAGTCGGCCGCAAAAGGGGCTCGCGTGAGCCCTGGACGCTGTGGCCGTCGTAAACAGGAAGCTGTTTTGCATCCAGATTTTGATCCCGTGGTCATGGGGAGGCCACAAAGGGGTGAGGACCGGCCCTCAATCCCATCGCTCAGTCCTGCTGTATCGGGGGCTGCCTGGGCACAGAGCCACTTGCTCAGTAAATAAAGAGAACAGGAAAACAGACTGTCCCGCAGCCCCTCCCCCTCTGGGTTGGGGGACGCGGGGGGGGCAACGGGGCGGGGGGGTGGGGGGGGGGGGGCACAGCCTCCTTCCGTGGGGATTCCTCGCCTAACCCCCCCTGGGACCCTCCCCGTCGGGCCAGGCTGGGTGCTGCCTGCCCCTCCTCTGTGCTTCCCCTCTGGAAGCCCAGAGACCCTCACAGCTGCCCCCCCCCCCCCCCGCCCGGGGTCCTCTTGCCGGCAGGTGGAGGTGGCCCGGAGGTCCTGGATCTTCAAGGACGAGGACGGCCAGGATCAGATCGGGGGCTTCGTGAAGGAGTTCGCCAACATTGCCTTCCTCACCATCAAGGTAGAGTGGGGAGGGGTCTCGCAAGAGCCCAGCTCGCCCTCCCCTCCCAGAGTCTGTCCACCCTGGTGAAATGCAGCCAAAGAAACTCCTGGGATGCGACCCAGAGCGTCCATCCCGTCCCTGAGAATTCCGCATGGGCCCAGGAGGAGCAAAGCCAGTTCTAAAGTTTTCGCGCGAGAACCAAGCATATAAACTCCCCTTTTCTCCCTGGACCTCCCCACATCCCCTCGTCCACCAATCAACGGCCTTGATTTTGTTTGGGGAACAATCTGAGCGCCTCGAAGCTGTTTCCCAGGGTTTGACCTTGGGGAGTTGGGACTGTCCCGGGCAACCGGTGGCTCCCTGACATTCCTCCATCCCCTTCCCCCCCCATCCTCTGAATGGCTTCCCATACTTTCCCTCCCCCCTCCCTGCTTCTGCTGTGCGTGGCGAGTCAGCCGTGAGCCTCCCACCGCTTCCTCTCTCTCCCTTCCACAGGGTGCCGGCCACATGGTGCCCACCGACCAGCCACGGGCAGCCTTCAACATGATGCAGCGGTACCTCAACCGGCAGCCCTTCTAGGCCCGGGAGCAGCGCCTTTCCTGGGGAGACCAGCCCCCTCCCGCTGCCGCATGGCTGCAAAGAGCGGCTCCTGACCGGCCTTGGGTGGGATTCTGGAGGGTCTCTGGCCCTGGGCAGGTCCTCTGGCAGGGCCCTGTCTCCCCTCGCCCTTCTCTGCGCATTTGCACTGTCCTCAGGGAGGAAGCAGGTCCCCTCGGTGGTGGGGGGTGCGTTTCTCAGCCTTCATTCCGGCGGCTCTTGCAGGAGGAACTCGACGGGGGGTCAAGAGCAGCCAGGTTCTCTTTCCTGGTCCAAGCAAGCGATTAAACTCTTATTTTTCTACTGGAAAAGGAGTGGGGCGATCTGTGGGGAAGAGGAGGCTGCCTTGGCAGCAGGGCTGGGTCTGGGGGCTCGGGGTCTTCCAGAAGCAGAGCTGGTGCTCCCATCACTGGAGGCTTTGAGGAGGAGACTGGGCAGCCATTTGGCCCTAATGGGGTCTAGGGCAGGGGTCTCCAAGCAGGCTGAGGAACTCTGGGAGCTGAAGTCCACAGGCCTTAAAGTGGTCAAGGTTGGTCTAGGATAAAGGTGTCACACCTTGGCCACCTTAAGGCCTGTGGACTTCAACTCCTAGCTAGGCTGGCTGGAGAATCCTGGGAATTGCAGTCCACAGGTTCCAAAGTTGGACGTCCCTGGTCTCGGATCTCCTGCTTGACCGGGCGTTTGGACTAGAAGACCTCCAGGGTCCCTTCTGTAATTACCCCCAGCCCTTCCCCCACTCTTTCCATCCTTCCCACCTCCAGCCCTGCCCCCAGAAGCTGCCTGTGGGGAGGGACAGCAGCCGAGGGGCACTTTCTCCAGGAGCTGCAGAGCTGAGCGTGCCCGGGGGAAGCCGCCGCCGCAGCAGCAGTGCCAACCTCCGGCGCCTGCGCTCGCCAGCTGCAGCACCCAGGGGTTCTGGATCAGCCTGACCCCCCCTTAAGGGGCGCCTGCTGCTTCGGGGGCTGCCCATGCAGCTGCAAGCAGGGAGCGGAGCCTTCGCTCTGACTGGCCCACCCACCTGCCGGCTGCCTCTCCCCACATTAAGGCGGAGGGGAGGCGTGCCAGAATCCGCACCTGGGGCTCCTGGAGGTTTTTTTTTTAGCAACGGTTCCGTGTTCCCTTTAGGGCTGGGCAAGGAGTGGGCCTCTCGGGATTTTGGGGTCCTGGCTGTCAGGTGAGGGGCTCATTAGTCCAGGAAGGTTGCAGACCTTTTTGCTTGAAGTCCAGAGGTGGTGCAGATGTTGCACCCAGCCTCTTCCCCAGCCAAGACTCTGGCTCCACCCACAGTTGCTGGGCCAAAGGGGGTGGCCTACAGTGGGACAGATGTGGGGGTGCTCCCCTTTCCTGGGGAGGGGGCAGCAGCGATCCCAGGAAGGGAGAACGGGGTTGGCCGAGAGGGGCATCTTGAGTCCATAGAGCTGCAGGCCAAGGCAGGCAGGAGGCCTCTGGTCCCATTTCCGGGGGGTTCCAGCGTGGGGCTAGGCCAGCCTACCTGGCAGGGCCGTTGTAAGGACTGGAGAACAGCCCCCCCCATGCAACCCCTCGCGTAAGACAGGAGGCAGACATCGGGCAGTGTAGCTCTTTATTCAGCCGTCCCAGAGCCTCACGGGGATCCTGGCGGCAGAGGGCTCCTCCTGACTGGGCCAGGCAGGTAAAGTTGGGAGCAGGTGGGGGACGAGATCCAGGGCCCCTAGGCAGCGGTGGAGGCCAGAGAAGAGCCCGGGGTCGCCCGGAGCTTCTCGATGACCTCTCGCAGCCCTTTGGTGAAATGCAGGTCGGCCCCGATGGTGAGGTAGCCCTGGGGAGGCAAGGGGGAGGGTGGGTGGGCTTGTGGAGCGGAGCATCCCGGCTCCATGGGCCCTGCCTGCAGGCAGCCACGGTGGGAGGGGTCCTGCTTACCAGGTGGCTCCTGACGGCCTCCTGGGTGAAGTCCATGCCTTCAGGGAGGGGGATCTGGACCCCTCTCTCGGTCCTCTCTGCAAGGAAGAGGGAGGGGCTTTGCTGGCCTTGCCCGTTGCGGAAGCTTCACCCCGGCGGCCCCTCTTCTGCAGCCTCCCACCCACCCAAAGGCAAAGGATCCAGCTCCCCGACCCCCCCCCAGAGCTGCCCCACATTCGCCCCCTCCCCCCGCGTACCGTTGATGAAGGGCATGATGGTCATTTGCAGCAGAGTCTGCAGGGGGGCCTGCAGTGGGAGGAGCTGTAGGGGGGCAGGGAAGAGGGTTGGGACCAGTGGTGGCGTGGTTTGGAGCGGTTTGGACGAACCGGTAGTAAAAACAGAAAAAAAGGCTCCAATCAGCTGAGAGGAGGGGAAAAGGGGGAGAGCCGAGAGGGTAAAAGACCGAAGAGCGCGTGCCGGAGGGAGGGGAGGGGTCGCTCCTAGCTTTTCGTTTCTTCATCCCCTCCACTGGTTGGCTTGTTTGCGTGTGCACACTCGATCCCCCACCAAACCGGTAGTGACTAAGGTAGGGTCCCACTGCTGGTTGGGACGGTCCAGCCTAGCCCCTTTTGCAGGAGGTTTTGGCTTGGGGTGGGGGGGGTGGAATAAGCCCCGGGAGCCCCCCAGAAGTCAGGCCAGGCTTGGCTCCTGGCTCCGCCCCTCTGTGGCCTGAGTCCAAAATTAGACTTACTGCCAACGATTCAAAGGCCGACTGGTTGGAGTAGATCCGGAACCTGAATTTTTTTGGGGGGGAGGGGGGAGAGAAGGGGGGTGAGTGGCAGAAGCTCTGCCAAACTGGGGGGGCCCGGTCACCCCTCCCCCACACACCCCCAGGCACCCCAGAGACTGCCAGCTCTACCTTCGGAGATCCAGATGCACCCGGAGAGCCTTATTGTGAAGCACCACCTTGGCACTTAAGCGGGATTCCTGCGGGGGGGGAGTTCACAATGGGGGAACACGGCTTGCAGACCCCTCCCTTGGCTCTGTCCTCCCACCCACACACACACACCAGATCTTCTGGATCCCAGAAGCAGCCCAGAAGGAAGCCCCCTGCTCAGCACCAGAGGCGATCAGGAGGATGGAAACCGCTCCCCAGGGCGGGGGTGAGGGGCAGGGGTGGGGGGTGGGCTCACCATAATCAGGCTGGAAAGCAGAATTTGGGGCTGGTCTGGGGGGGCCAAGAAGATATTGAGCACGGCGGAGACGTAGATGTAGGTGCCGGAAGGCCGGATGGTGCAGTGAGGAGCTTTGGTCACCTGCAGCTTTAAGGTCAGGGGCGCATCCACCACATCGGGGTCCTGGGGGGGTGGGGGAGACAGGCTCAGTCAAGAGGGAAGCAGGAAGACAAGCTGGAGACCCCGCTGAGTTTCCCTGGGCGAGAAGTCTTGCTAAAAAGGAACCAGAAACTGCCTTGTGGCTTTGGAGAAGCTTCTTTCAGCTCAATGGTAATAAGGAATTGAAAATGAAACTTCTACTTTTCATTCCCACCCTGGAAGAAGGCAGGTTGCCACATTTGGGGGGTGGGGAGGAGGGGGGGCGCCTCAGAAGAACCGTAAAGGGGAAGCGGTGCAAAACGGGCACGATTTAGCAGAGAAATCTGGAGAAAAAAATTTATGACAGTCAAAGTGCAGAGAAGAGCAACCAGAATGATGAGGAGACTGGAGACTAAAACTTATGGTGAACGGTTGCAGGACCTGGGCCTGGCTAGTCTGGTGAAGAGAAGGACCAGGGGAGACAGGAGAACGGCCTTCTGATAGTTGAGGGGCTGCCCCAGAGAGGAGGAGGTGGGGGGTCAAGCTATTCTCCAAAGCACCTTTGAAGGCCAGACAAGGAATAATGGATGGAAACTGACCAAGGAGAGATTTTTCAACCTGGAAATAAGGAGGAACTTTCTGACAGTGAGAACCATCAACCCATGGAACAGAAGTTGCCCTCAGAAGTTGTGGGAGCATCATCACTTGAGACCTTCAAGAAGAGACTGCACTGCCATCTGTCAGACATGGTGTAGGGTCTCCTGCTTGGGCATGGGGGTTGGACTAGATGACCTACAAGGTCCCTTCCAACTCTGATTATCTGTTAATTATTCTGGACTGTTGCAAAGTCAGCCAGATATTCTACCAGGAATTATGAAATGTATTTGCCACCCATCTCATTTTGAAGGGAGATTATTCCCACGGGGATCATGGGGGTCCTTCCTGCAGAGCCCCCTTCCGAGCTCAGCCCCCAACCCCCCCCCC